AGAGAAATCTTGTCTCAACCTCTCCCCCCCCCAGAAAAAGAAAGAAACACAGATAAGTTTGTGGTATCTCCTCCAAGATATTCCTTTCACCACCAGCCAACCACAGGGAGAGAGTGGTTCTGCTGCACCAAGAACTCACGACTAAAACCTTCACGGAACCAAGGCCAGAGAGATGACTCAGTGGTTAACAGCACTCTCTTCCAGAAGACCGGGTTTGACTCCCAGCACAACCACAGTGGCTCACCTGTAACTGCAGCTCCCAGTGATTCAACACCACCTTCTGATCTTTGAAGGCATCAGACACATATGAAGTACTTAGGCATGCATGCAAGCAAAACACCCAAACACTTAAAATAAAATAAATACAACAACCTTGGTGAAACTACTTACAGGTAATTTAAACAAATCAGAAGACTGTCAAGGAACTCTCAGAGTTGATGGCAGCTGAGTAGCCAGGCTTGGGGACATCTGGGAACCATGGAACAAAGTGTAAGTCCCCAAGAACCACAACAGTAATCCGTTAGCCAAAGTTCAGCCTTTCACCCGTGAGCCCTGGTGACACTAAAACCAGTTGTGTCTCTCTCCCTCCTGTCTACACCTCCCTAGAGGAAGGAAGGAACAGTTGATAGGCTGAATCTAAGCCACATGCCCACTTCCTAGAAGTACCAGGTCCAGAGTGGGTGGCTCTGGCCTTGAGCCTTTCCTCACTGCCACCCTGCACAAAAGCAGGTTCTCCAGCAGACACAGGTCGTCTGTTAGGAACTACGTATTCCCTGATTGTCTTAGATGCTAAGCAAGAAGGAAGCTCACCTCAAGGAATGCCCAGCCTAAGGTCCTCTGAGACCCTCTTCTCTCCTAGAGTAGATGGGGATAATGAGAGGTTAGGCTTCTCAGAACACCTGGTCACAGGATCAGTCAGCCCTGACAAGAGGCCCAGTCACTGGGGCAGGGAGGCTTTGGGCTATCTGATACCCACCATTACTTCCTCAGTGTTTCTTGGGGGCCTATTGCTGCTGAACACAGGTGCTATTTTACTTTTTGATGCTGTGGGCCTAGATTGTTAAACATGATTTGGAAAAGACCATTTAAATGCACGGTGTGTAAGAAGTAGTAAGATCAGCCTAAAGTGTAAAGAGAAACTTTTTCCTTGAGAGAAGCCTTCCCGCCAGCCTGGTTCTAGAGCCGCATCAGTCCCAAATAAACACACAGGAGGCTATATTAATTATGAAGCTGTTGGCCTTGCTTGTTTCTTACTGGCTAGCTCTGACTTAAGTAATTACCCCATAATTGTTAATCTAAGTATTTCTCTTACCGGAGAATAGTTCCGGGCTTCCTACCCCATGGCATTACATCTTGACTCCCTATGTTTCTCCTTCCCAGAGTCCTCCTGGACTCCTAGTCCCACCCTATCTTGATTCCCTATTGGCTAGCAGTGCTTTATTGACAAATGCACAGGACTTCCCCCCAACATCTCCTCTTTTCTGTTTAAACAAACAAAAAAAAAAGGTCTTAACTTTAACATAGTCAAATTATATATAAAAGAACAGTTATCAAGTAAGAACATAGTTACAATATTTTGTCTATCAACATTTAGCAAGATTTAAAGAAAATATCATCTATCTCATTCTTGTGAGTCCAAAGTCCTATATGTAGCTTATCTCTTATCATAACTAAGGAAAACTATAATTATAACTATCTGTCTTCAACTCTATCAAAGACTTCAGAAGGATAATATGTAAACACTAGAACTGACAGAGACATCTCACTTCCTGGTCAGTCACCTGGAGTTCCTCTGTAACGTTGGGGCATCCATCTTCAGCCCATAAGGCCACAATGTGTCTGGAAGACTTCTCAGCAAAGCAGGAAATTTCAAACTGTCCATCTGCATTGGCAGTCTGTCAGTCGCTTCTCTGTGTCCTGCAGAAAGTCTCGTAGACTCTTCCATGAAGCAGGAACCCTGTAAGACTGAGTTCAGCAGTCACTTTCCTGTGGGTCCTGCATGTCCAGATTATACAATAACAGTCAAGCAGTCTAGGAAAGAGCAGTGTCTTGCCCAAATGGCTAATCTTGCCATGTTGAAAGCAAACTCCATAAGGAGTTTCTTCGATGCCCATCTTCCTCTCAGACGTAATTGGTGCTGCCAGGAGAAGACATTTCTCATTGTCAAGAAAAACCCTAAACCATTTTAAATGTCATTTTCTGAAGGTCTTTGAAAGGTTTGAAGCCTGTCTATCTCAAATATATTTCTGTATATCTAGAAAACCTAACTTACCTAACTATAAGTTCTGACCATTATAAGTAACTATCTATAATCTGTATTTAATTATGCATTATGTTTTAAGAGATCAGTATAAGCACAATACTTAATCAAGAGGAGAAATACACACATCACAAAATTGACCTTGAATTTGTCTCAATAAATGAAAAACCATACCCATACCATAATTCCCCTTTCTACCATTAAAAAGAGATTGGCTGTGATCACTAGCTAATTATAAACAATCCCATTTAAATGAAAACAAAGATTTATAAACAAGATGGGAATTAGGACGTCACTCATTCCAAACTGCTTCCTGCTGGAAGGGAGCGCTGTTCATACCATGGGGTGTGGGGAGCCGCCCCCACATTCTCCGTTACAAGATGGCGCTGACACCAGTTGTCAGTTGGAGTAAACAACCTTGGTGCGCATGTGCCTGCTACTTTTCTATCCCTTACTCTCTGCCTCTCCCATGGCGTCATATGGGCTGACGAGCAGGAGCCAGTCAGGAGATGACTCGTCCGAGGCGGGGACTGCTGAGCTATATAAGGGTTGGGCTTTTCGCTCCCCGGGTCTCTGCTCTGTAAGCTTATGCTCTCCCTCTCAAGACGCATTAAAGCTGTTCTGCAGAAGGATCCTAAGTGTGCCACGTCGTTCTTGCTGGCGAGACGGTAGCGCGGGACATCTGGTGCCGAAACCCGGGAACTTGAGACCTCATCATCGTCAGCACCATCGGAGACCCCTTGGATTCAAGGAGGATTCAGAACTGCAGGTAACTACGCTCGGAGAGGTATGTTATTCTGGGACTTTGGATTGGAGCCTGTGTTACAATTGTTACATCGTTACAATTGTTAGGATAAGCGGCAGTGCCTGACTGTGTGCTTTAGTCTCTTGTAGATAAAAGAGCTGCGCGCGGTCGTTACTTTTGTTTCATTCGAGCCGCAGGTGTTTATTTTTATCATGGCTCCTCTCAATCCGTCTAGCATGTCAGAAACCGAGCGTAGTGAGAGGTTAGGTGCACGTAAAAAGAAACCGGTTGTAACTAAGAAAGATAACACCCCCCCCCCCCGGTAAATTTAAGGATAAGGGGGAGCCCTTACAGTCCTCAAGAGGGACATTAGAAGATAAACAAAAATGGGAGAAGGATTATACCCTTTTCAGGAACTGGAAGCTTGCACAAATGCAAGTCACACATACTACAGGCCTGCCCTACAATCCTCAGGGACAAGGTATCATGGAGCGAGCACATCGCACACTTAAGTCTTACCTAATAAAACAAAAAGGGGGAATTATGAAGGAGTTTCCCCCAACACCAAGAGTGGCTATTGCCATGGCATTGTTTACTATGAATTTTTAAAAATCTGGATGATAAGGGTCAAAATGCAGCAACCAGGCATTGCTCGGATCCGCAAAGACCCAAAGAATTTGTGAAATGGAAAGATGTGCTAACTAATGAATGGAAAGGCCCGGATCCTATTCTAATAAGATCTAGGGGAGCTGTTTGTGTTTTTCCACAGAGTGAAGAAAATCCCTTTTGGGTCCCAGAATGGCTCACCAGAACCGTTATGGAGCAAAAGGATGGCGAGACATATGAATTTGAGTTGACCTGTCCTTCACGGGGAGAGATTGTCTTCGTGGATTTCTTCAGCTGTTTAATATTTCAAAGAATGGGTGGGGGTGGGATTGTTTGGAGCAGTCCTATGCTGCGGAATAGTGTTTATTCTCTGGCTGGTCTGCAAGCTCAGAACCCAAAACAAAAGAGATAAGGTGGTCATAGCACAAGCACTGACTGCGCTCGAGCAAGGGGTGTCAACCGATATCTGGTTGACTATGCTTAAGCAATAGGCTGCCGACTGAACAGCTCCTGCACACCCAGAACTTAGGTTCATTGCACAGGGTAGAGTGTTTAGTCTGGCCTCCCAAGAGGGGTGTTGAGCAAAGGCATCGCACAGAGAGATATTTTCCTCTGAGAGACATGTTGTCCTGCATAAGGGTTACCTGCTGTATTTTTTCCCTTTTCCCAGAAAAAGGCAGAGGACAGGTCGGAAGCATCCCGGATTTTGATGAATCTAGGGATAGGTTTCGTACACGTCTCACTAATTTTGTTCTTTGGGAAGTTCAACCACTGTCTCTACCCTCTAATGTCCTGGGAGAGCCTGTTTGCTATTAAAACAAAAAAGGGGGAGATGTGGGGAGCCGCCCCCACATTCTCCGTTACAAGATGGCGCTGACACCAGTTGTCAGTTGGAGTAAACAACCTTGGTGCGCACGTGCCTGCTACTTTTCTATCCCTTACTCTCTGCCTCTCCCGTGGCGTCATATGGGCTGACGAGCAGGAGCCAGTCAGGAGATGACACGTCCGAGGCGGGGACTGCTGAGCTATATAAGGGTTGGGCTTTTCGCTCCCTGGGTCTTTGCTCTGTAAGCTTATGCTCTCCCTCTCAAGACGCATTAAAGCTGTTCTGCAGAAGGATCCTAAGTGTGCCGCGTCATTCTTGCTGGCGAGATGGTAGCACGGGACAATGGGGATCATGAAAAAACTCAGAAACCTGTATAAGTCCTTATTTTGGGGTCTGTAAGGCTCCATTATCTTAGCTGTCTCAATTGTTGAAACACCTGGGCCACTGCTTCCGGGGGTCTTGGTTCGTTAAACCACAGAAGCCTGGAAGGAATCCTCAGCTTTTCATTTTCGGAGAATAGTTCCGGGCTTCCTACCCCATGGCGTTACATCTTGACTCCCTGTGTTTCTCCTTCCCAGAGTCCTCCTGGACTCCTAGTCCCACCTATCTTGATTCCCTATTGGCCAGCAGTGCTTTAATGACAAATGCACAGGACTTCCCCCCCAACATTGCTGTAGGCCTAGATTGTTAAATGTGATTTGGAAAAGACCATTTAAATGCACAGTATGTAAGAAGTAGTAAGATCAGCCTAAAGAGAAAGAAAAGACTAGAGAAAACAAAACAAAACACTTAGACAGAAAGAGACTGGAAAACGGGATGGGGAAACATTTATCGCAAGAAAGGAAGAGTGAAATCCAGTCCAAGAAGATGAGGGGGCCCTTCTTCTTCCAGGTTCATTGGTCGCCAGTGTCACCAGTCCATGAGGACAAAAGGGCAGAAAGACGGCCTGTGCACATGGCAGAAACAGCCTTCTGGAAGATGGCTTCGGTGAGACAGCCCAATTTTATTTCAGAGTACAGGGGAGACACAGGATTGGGGTGGTAGCTGGGGTAAACCCTAATTTGCATTAGGTGGCATCCTCCTATCATACAGCTGGATTAGTGGCAGCCTGGCTCTATGAAAATAGAGCATGTTACTTCATTACTATGTGGCAGCTGGGGAAGAGTCTTAAGGGTCATCCTTGAGATAAGTCAGGCATCTGGGCCCAGAGACACCTTCCAGATAGAGCTAGGTAGAGAGCAGGATGCCCCCTTTAGGGGGGAGGGCAACAGAATCCTCCATATTGTGCTAGGCCCTAGGAGAGCTGTGAAACTAATGGTAGACTGTAACCTCTGACCAGTGGGGCCCCCCAACAAGGAAGTGTCACTGAACAGCTGTGAAATTAATATCACATGACATGACATATGAAGAGAACTAGAGCAGGCATTTTTTTTTCGTTTTTTGCGAAAGAGTTTCTCTGTATTGTTTTGGAGGCTGTCCTAGAACTCGCTCTGTAGACCAGACTGGCCTCGAACTCACAGAGATCCGCCTGCCTCTGCCTCCCGAGTGCTGGGATTAAAGGCGTGACAAGCCTCCTGCCTCTGCCTCCAGACTTCTAGGACTACACTAGGGCTCTACTCTAGCAGGCCCGAGCAGGGCAAACATTGCAGACAGGTTTTGCCCCTTTTGCCCCTTTTACCCTCTCTTGCTAAAAACGATTACATTCCTAAAGCTACCCCACGAGGTCCTCCCTTACTCAGCCACTGACTCATTCCTGAGACAAAACACCAAGTTCCAGCAATCAAAGTTCATTATTTGGCTCTCATGCCCAATGAGGATTTACCAGCTCACCCTGGCGCAGACCACCCCTTCCCCTCACAACCCCACTCCTGCAGACACACCCTCTGACTCTCTTGCTTTTACTTGCTGCTGCCGCCACCGCCTTTGCACCCTCCCCACCCCGTTGCCCCCTGGGGTAATAAATCTCCTTTGTGCTGAGAATTTGCTGTCTGAGTATGTCCTGTACTGACTCCAAAGGGGCAACCTCCCTTAGAACACATACAAGGTTTTGGGTGTCTTCCAAAAACAAACTTTTCCATCCTCTATGGTCAAATACTTTCCTTGCTTTTTACTTATGGTTTGCATTGAATGTGACAGTGAGGGCCCTTAGGACCTTTTGTTATTCCTCAGGGGAAGCTTGCTTTTCTCTTAGCTGTCCTGTGCTGGTCAGGGCTTCTCTGGGACCCGGGGCTAGGCTCTATTCCAGCCCCTTCCTGCCAAGAGGAGAATGGGTTTGCAACCTCTGACTGGTTCCCATGCCCTATTCTGAATTTCTCTATTCAGAGATATTTGTGGGAAGGCACAAGGGTGCTCCAGGCTAAACAAAATGACTCAGAGGAAACCCCAGTGTGGGCTGGTCCTCGCTGAGAGAGACAGACATGAGTGGCACCAAAGAGAGCTTGGGGCAGGGTGTGTCTCAGAAGGGATTCATCTCCATAATCTACGATGTTTCCTAAGGTATTACAAACCAATCATAAAGATAGGATTGAAATAAAAACAAGGGAAAATGTAACACACACAGAGGGAAAGAGGACACAGACACTCAGAGGCTGTTTAATTTATAAGAAAAAAAAGTGTCTCTAAAACAGTGAGCTGGCTATTGAAAAGAAAAAATCCTATAGCCTTCAGCAAAAATTATAAACTTGTCACAGACAAAAGCAGTTTCCATGCAAGTTCCTTAATCATAAGCTGTTCTTACCACAAGTCCCTCTGCTAACTATGCAACCTACAGAGCCGTACAGCTTGGAAATTGAGACTGCCTCAGGGAGTTGTCTGGTGCCAAAGATTGCTTTTAACGGACTTCACTATTATACTATTATGTATTTGATTACACACACACACACACACACACATACACACACACACACACAGACACACACACACACCCCTCAAATTTTTTCTTAGAAAAAAAAGCAGACAGCCCCAGTGGTACACATCTTTAATACCAGTACTTGGAAGGCATAAGCAGGCAGATCTTTATGAGTAAGAGGCCAGCCTGGATTATATATAGAGTTTCAGGGCAGACAGGGTTACATTATGAGACTTTATTTCAAATAAATTAACTAATAAAAAGTTAAATAAAAGTAACCCATTCAGAAATCAGGACAAGCCAGGTGGTGGTGATGCAGGCTTTTAATTCCAGCACTCGGAAGGCAGAGGCCAGCCTGGTCTGCAGAGGTAGTTCTAAGACAGCCCAGGCTACACAAAGAAAGCCTGTTTCTTTTTTTCTTTTTTTAAGATTTATTTATTACATATACAGTTTCTGTTTACACTCCAGAAGAGGGCACCAGATTGAATTGTAGATGGTTGTGAGCCACCATGTGGTTGCTGGGAATTGAACTTAGGACCTCTGGAAGAGCAGTCAGTGCTCTTAACCTCTGAGCCATCTCTCCAGCCCCAAGAAACCCTGTTTCTAAAAACCAAAAGGAACAACAATGAAAAAAGAAATCAGGACAAACATAAAGACAAGCTTTCGTGTGTAAGTAGGTGGCATGGTGACACAATCTAGTGATCCTAACACCCCAGAGGTGAGGCAGCAGGATGAAGTGTTCGAGGCCAGCTTGGGGCTATATAGAGTTCCTGGCCAGCATGGGCGGCATAGCAAGACATGTCTCAAAAAATGAAAAATGGGTTATAAAAGTGTTTCAGGTTAAACACTTGCTTTGTAAGCTTGAAGACTAGAGTTTGGATCCCCAGAAACTCACATAAACGTCAGGTAAGCATGATGGCGTACCTGTAATTTCAGCCTTGGAAAGTGGAGATGGGGGGGGTCCCCAGAGTAAGCTACCTAGCAAGACTAATCATACCAGTGAGCTCTGGGATTGACTGAGAAACCCTGAATAAAGTGGAAAAGTAGTGGAGGATAATTTCCTGAAACCCAGGAGGCTGACCCCAAACTCTCAAGTACGGCTTCTGCTCCCTCCCACCTGAGATGCTGGGATTACAGGCGTGAGCCCCCACTCCTGGACGATAATTTCCAACATCTACTTCTGACCTCCACATGTACTGGCACATACTCACATGCAAATGCACTCACACATAGGAAAAACCATGTGTACATACATGCATGCCATTTCACATACATGAAAAATGAGAGTGGAGCAGAAACAGAGCATGACTAGGTATGACAGCATATCTACTAAGCCAAGCAAATAAGAAAAACAAAAATACATAAAATTAAAATATTGTGCAGTGTCAGCCGGGCGTTGGTGGCGCACGCCTTTAACTTGGAAGGCAGAGGCAGGCGGATCTCTGTGAGTTCGAGGCCAGCCTGGTCTACAAGAGCTAGTTCCAGGACAGCCTCCAAAGCCACAGAGAAACCCTGTCTCGAAAAACAAAAAAAACAAAAAAAAAATATTGTGCAGTGTCAAAGGCATAGGTGGATTGGAGTCACAGCTAAGGACTGAGTGCTGGCCTAGCATGGCTGAGCCTTTGGTTTGCTATGTAGCACTGCCATTAAAAGTAAAGAAAACTGGGGAACCTAAGAGAGGGCTCAGTAGTTAACAGCATCTGCTGCTCTTCCAAAAGATCTGGGATTGATTCCTAGCATTCACATGGCGGCTCATAACCGTCCATAACTCCAGTTTCAGAGGACCCGATGACCTCTTCTGGCCTCTGTGGGAACCAGACACACATGCAGTACACAGACATATATTTAGGCAAAGCTTTCATACACAAATATAAAAATATTTAATCCCAGCACTTGGGAGGCAGAGGCAGGGGGATCTCTGTGAGTTCAAGGCCAGTCTGGTCTACAGAGGAAGTCCCAGGACAGTCAAGCCTACGCAAAGAAACCCTGTCTTGAGAAAGAAAGGAAGGGAAGGAGGGAGGGAAGGAAGGAAGACAGACAGACAGAAGGAAAGAAAGGAAGAAAAGTGAGCTGGCTATGGAGATGGCTCAGTAGGTTAGAGCTTTTTCTGTGCAAGCATGAGGACCTGAGTTCAAATCCCCAGCACCAAGTAAAAAGCTGGGTGTGGCCATATGTTCTTGTAACTCCCACCCTACAGGGGTAGGAGACAGATGGAGACAGAAGGATCAGGCTTGTTGACTGCCAACAGTCTGAGGTTCAGTGAGAGATCCTATTTATTTATTACATATACAGTGTTCTGCCTACATACCAGAAGAGGGCACCAGATTGAATTGTAGATGGTTGTGAACCATCATGTGGTTGCTGGGAATTGAACTCAGGACCCCTGGAAGAGCAGTCAGTGCTCTTAACCTCTGAGCCATCTCTCCAGCCCCAGTAAGCTCTCTTAACCACTGAACTAGCTCTCTGGTCCCACTGTCCCACTTTTTTTTTGTTTTTTTTTGTTGTTTTGTTTTTTTGTTTTGTTTTTTTGTTTGTTTTTCGAGACAGGGTTTCTCTGTGGCTTTGGAGGCTGTCCTGGAACTCGCTTGGTAGTCTAGGCTGGTCTCGAACTCACAGAGATCCGCCTGCCTCTGCCTCCCGAGTGCTGGGATTAAAGGCGTGCGCCACCAACGCCCAGCCCAATGTCCCACTTTTAAAAATTTTTTTAGACAGGGTCTTACTATGTAGCCCAGGCTGGACTTGAAGTACTGACCCTGCTGCCTTCATCTTCCAAATGTTAGAATCCTAGGTGCCCAGAAGTAAAAACAAAATTAAATAGTACTGATAATGGTTTGTGTTAGTGAGCGAGGCTGGAAAACGATTGGCTTTGGGGTTTTTGTTGTTGTTTGCTTGCTTTTTATAACGTGAGTGGATTTTTTAAAAATCTGGATTCTTTTTTAAAAAAATTTTGAGTGGTTTTTCAAGACAGGGTTCCTCTGTGAAATAGTTTTGAATGTCCTGAAACTCAATTTGTAGACCAGGCTAACCTGGAACTCACTGAGATTCCCTTGCCTCTGCCTCCCAAGGGCTGGGATTAAAGGCTTTGCCACCATGCATGGCCTCCTTTTTAAATTTTTAAAAAATATTGTATTTTTTATTT